AATGAAAAAAGACGCTGAACTGTAAAGATTAAGGTAACATGTAAAAAATTATATATTGTATGAGCCTCATGTATGTCGTAATATAAGAAATAATAATAAAATAAAATTTGTAGTTGCTGAAGAAGTCCCAATAAAGGTACGAAACGTCCAACTAAATCAAACATAGTTCTACTTCTTTCATGTCCAAGTTCCCTGTTAAATTTCATCATTAAACATTATTATTATTATTAATTCGTCAACCTGTTATAATGCAATGAAAAAGGATACAAATATTTTTTAATTTACATGAATTAACAATAATCGAAGCGCAACTGATTAAACTTTTAAGGTTCACGATAAAACAATTGAAATGACGTTTCAATTAAAATGTTTTTTCATAATTTTAAATTGTAAATTATAACGAAAATAGAAACTGATTCATACGTCGTGCCATTTAAAGGTATTTTCTACGTTTTCTTTTCAATCGTAAAACAAACATGATTCATACGCATAAGCAAACGTTTCATTCAAACAAATGATTTTTGTTTTTTTTTTTTTTGGACAAAGTATTATTACCTGAACCAGGTTGTTCGATATCAGCACCACATTTTTCTACGAGGTATTCCGCCACGTCATAGTGTCCGTTTCGACAAGCCATAACTAATGGGGTTGCCCCATGAGTCGTAGTGCCGACCAATACTTCTACCTCATGTTTTTCTCGCCGCTCCAAAAATCGCTATAAAACAATAAGATTTGTTTTAATGTTTTTCTTTTTTTTTTTTTTTTTTTTCATTAATTGCATTGATTAATAATCATAAGAATATTTCAAATGTACAATTAATTATGTCAAATATGTTCTATCAATGATAAGTGAAAATATTGGAAGTAATGTATTCTATGATTTATATATTTTATTTTAATAATAATTCAATTATATATATTCATTGCATTCATATTTTATTTGAAATAATATGACTGTTAGTTGAAATGTTATGAGAAGTATACTGAAAGTATTGTACAAATTTTTCCCTTATATTATACTTATGTTCTTTAAAACGAAACATAGGATTAAGCAAAAAATTATAATAGGTTCATTTAACTGACGAATAAAAAAACTTGTTAAAGAAGAAAGAAATCGGATAAATAATTATTATTATTATAATTGGATTCGTAAATAAATTAAAGATCAACCGGCAAAATTACATTCGATGAATGAATTTTAATAAAATTAGATTAAAAATGAGTTTAGTTAGAAGATTCATGATTTTTTGACAACAGATAAATCAGAAATATGAAAAAATACAATTAATCAAGGTTATTTAAAAATATGACATAGAAAAAATTAATGTATTATTTAATTAAAAAGTAATGTTAAAAAAATTAATTATCGAGCCGAGAGTGACGACGATAAATCAATATGACAATGAAAATTATTAATAATTTTAAAAACAAGAATAACGATCAAATTATAAATTGCATTTAATGAACTGTATGTAATATTTAAGATAACATTTTTCTAGGAAAAAAATATTCTAAAGAAGAAGAAAAATGAATATAGTCAAACTTACGTTTGAAAATACGGTACCCGTGTTGAATGGATGAACAAAAATCGAAACTATTTGAATTATACAGGACGAATTTGTCGACAAATTCAAATTCGCGGTTGAAACGTCCGATTTTAACGAGTTTTCAAAGTCAACTGACAGAGTTCTTCGTTTCGTTCAGGTAAAAATTCACAATCGAAAGATGTTCTGTGTTAGTGTATGTATATATAAATATACATACGTACATATATGTATATATATATGTACAATTCTTATTCTAACTCTCAAAGAAGGATACCAAGTTAAGTATAAGAAACGTAAGAATATTTTCTTCTTCCTCTTGTCTTTTCCGTCTTTTATCTTTTATCTTTGTCTTTTTTTTCTTCTTTTTCGAGCAAATAATAAATATTTAAAATATGTTT